TGGGGACCGGGACCGAGATGGCCACGTCCCAGCTGTGCTGGGAACCCCACGATGCTCAGGCTGGAGCCGTTCCTCCGAGGCTCCCCCCCCCACCCGGCAGGCGGCATGGGTGGCAGGGGGGACGGCACATACACTGCTTGCCATAGGGCGGCCCCCCCCATGCCCGTGCCGTACCTCTCTCGCAGTAGGGCTGCCCCTCCTCCATGTAGAAGGCGCGGTTGCGGATGGGCGTCTTGCAGGCAGCGCAGGTGAAGCACTGCACGTGCCAGGTCATCTTCAGGGCGTGCACCCACCCGGCAGGCGGCATGGGTGGCAGGGGGGACGGCACATACACTGCTTGCCATAGGGCGGCCCCCCCCATGCCCGTGCCGTACCTCTCTCGCAGTAGGGCTGCCCCTCCTCCATGTAGAAGGCGCGGTTGCGGATGGGCGTCTTGCAGGCAGCGCAGGTGAAGCACTGCACGTGCCAGGTCATCTTCAGGGCGTGCATGATCTCCTGGGGGACGGGGGGTCAGCCACATGCCCTGCCCCCCGGGGAGCGGCAGGGCAGGCCCCCCTAGGCAGGGCCAGAGGCTCCAGCCGACCCCACAGCACAGAGCAGGGGCCTAGGATGGGAGCTGCAGCCTGGGGGCCACCAGGAGCAATGGGGCAGATCCGGGGTGGGGGCAGGGCAGGCTGGGGAGGGCTATCGGGCAGCATGCAAGACAGGGGGCAGTGCCCAGGGCAGGGCTGATTGGCACGGGGACCGGGGGGCTGCAGGGCAGCGCCCGGCTGAGACCACTCACCCCCGTGATCTTCTTCTTGCACTTGGCGCAGGGGGGGGCGTAGCGCAGGTCATAGCAGGGCGGGCACAGCACCGAGCCCTTCTCCTCGAAGAAGCCACCCTCATCCAGCGGGCGCCGGCACTGGCAGCACGTGAACTCCTCAGGGTGGTAGTAGCGTCCCAGCGCCACCAGGTAGCGGCCCCTGCAGGGGGCAGAGGCAGGTGAGCCGGGCAGGGGCCGGGCCGGGCCGGACCCCCGCCTCACCCTGGGCCGCGCACTCACCTGATGACCTTGTTGCAGTGGTAGCAGATGGGGGTGCGGCCAGCGGGCTCGGGGGGCTGCTGCCCGGCCTGCACGATGGAGCTGCGGCTCTGTGCGGGCGTGGGCATGGCTGGCTGCCGGTGCTTGCTCAGCACCGTGCTGGTCTTGTCCGGGGCGTAGCGCTCCGC